AGCCTTTGACTCCTAATTTCAGTTCAGGTCATGATCTCTGGGCTGTGGGACTAAGCCCGGCGCTGGGCTCGAAGCTCAGCACAGAGCTGGGATTTTCTCTCTCCCTCTGCCCCTCCCCCTGCTCGCACATGCCCAATGAATGAATGAATGAATGAAAGAATATTTAATGAATGAATGACTCAGCACACCCACAAAATGGCCAACTGCTGAATACCACCCCCACAAATCTCAGGTCAGCCCAGCCCCGCCCTTGGCCTACCTGGAGGAAGCTGGGGCTTAGTCAAGCCAATGGATGTGGTGGGAGCAGTGGCAGGAAGGCCTTCTACTGTGACCCTGGGCTCTGGCACTGGCTGGTTTGCAGATGACGGCTGGGTGGGTGTCGGAGTGTGGCAGGGCGTGGCTGCCGGGCCCTTCCCCACTGCCACAGGTGGCGGGATGTCCCCTTCATCGATGGTGTTACCCTTCCGGACTGAGGCCAGCAGGTTTTCAAGTGTCTGAGATAAGGTGTGAAAGCGGGTTTTAGAGGAGCCTGGAGCTGGAGGCAATGGGCAGTGGTAGGGTGCCAGCACCCTCCTGTCTCCTGCCGGCTCACCTTAAGCCCCCGGTCGTAGCGCCGCATCTTGGCACCATCTCCAGCTCGCCTAGCGCTTTCGATCGCTGTCTGGTAGAGGGCCAACCTCTCCTGCAAGGTGGCCTCCACCCCTGGGCTGGGGGCTGTGGCCTTTGGCTGCAGGAGGGACCGGGGCATGGTCTGGGTGGCAACCCCACCTGAGTTCTCCCCAAGAGTTCCCTTGTCAAGTGTCTCCACACACACCAGGCATGTTGCCCCTGGCCCAGCTGTCCCCAACTGCCCCCCACAACCAGGAAACCATTATCCCCATTCCTGGTGCTGAGAACTGGGTCTCAGAGGTGTCATGTCACGTGCCCAAGGTAACATGGCTGAGGGGCCAGGAAAGGCCTCGAACTCTGGGCAATGGGGAGCAGGTTGCTGGGCTCTACCTGAGTGGCAGGAGGGTGGGACTCCACAGTCTTCTGCTCCTCCCCAAGGACCTCGTTTAGCTCTGCCTGCAGGGGCACACGGCCACGGGCCGAGCTTGAGGGCCCGCTGGATGGCGCAATGACAGCATGGGAGGCCCCCTGCCTTGCCCCGGGGTGCTCACCAGCAGGTCATCGTCAGCCTCCACATCCTCCTCGTCTGTACCCTCATCCTCACCCTCATCCGGGTCTCTCATGCACAGGCTGGCCATCTTCTCAATGGCCTCCATGGGCAGGGGGCCTGGCGGCAGGGAGAGGCCCCAGCTGGACTGGGATCCTTCAAGAGTCCCCAGCCTCCCATCCCAGTGACCCATGGCCCCAAAGAACAGGGCAGCGTGTCCCCCTCCCAGCCCTCCCACGGGCACCCCACCACGGTCCTCGGGCCCACCAGGTACGATCCCGATCCCCGCAAAGCCCGCCCGCCTCGTCTCGTCTCGTCTCGTCTCTTCCTGATCAAGCCCGCCTCGGCACCCTGGCTCCACAGCTCTCTCGCTCTGGAGCCCTGGGCAAGTCACTTGCCCTGCCTGGGACTCAGTCTTCCCATCTATTGGATGAGGACAAGAGTTTCTCCCTCACAGGTGCTTGGTGGGAAGTAAAGATAGAGGAAACTCCAGAGCAGCATGTGGTCAGCATTTTGTTACTTGAGTTATTCTCATTAACTGCCTTAGTTACGTTCTATGAAACTGCTGTAAACGCCCACTCCTTGAACACTGGACCACTGCCCCTTAAAGGAGATAGAAGTTTCAGGTCCCATGAGTCTCTGGGCACAACATTTTTGTCAACCAGTCAATACGTAACCTCACTTGATGTGTGTTTCTATCTAATGATACCTTTTTAAAAACAGATTGTTGATTTGTGAACATTGAACTCAAGGCCAACAGCGGCCCTGTAACTCACGTCTGAATAAAGCTCATCTGCTACATCTTTCCTCCAAAAGACACTTCACAGCCTTCTTGCTCTTAGAGACACGAGACAGCACTAAGCCCTACACTCGGGAGCCACTTTGAAGAGCAAAACCACCAACAAAAAGCACCACAATGAGGAGGAAAAAAAAAAAAGGCAGTCTGACACAGACTGTGGAAAGGAGCCTTGTTCACAGCCCATCCAGGGACAAGGCAGAATAAAGTGTCACCGTGCTCTGCCTCAGCTGGGAGCATCTGTGCTGAGCGACTCCAACTTCTGGCAGCTCGGCGCACACCTGCCAGTAAGTACAAAAGCTCCGCAAGCATTGATTTGGGTGTTACAAATAAAGTTGAGCCCATTGGGAAAATTCACAAATATGGAATCCATCAATAATGAGGACTGACTGAATTACTGGTAAAGTATCAAGATTCCGTTTGCCCTCGGAGCTCCAGCCCCTCTGTCCACTACAGAGTTTCTGCCCTCTGCCACCTCCCCTAGGGGGCTTTGCAGGGGCTGTGGCCTCTCCCAAAAGCGCTTCCCAGCTCTTCACCTGGCCCTCCTTACTGTGAGTGCTTCTTGAGGGCATCTGGACCCAGCTCACAGGTCTCTCCCACCGCTCTGTGCTTCCCTCATCCCAGCCCTGATCATGGGACAGCAAGCTGGAGGAAATGCTAGACCCTCTGTGAAGTGCTTTATGAACACTAGAAGAGTAACTCCCGTGATTAAGTGCAGTCATTATTCCCATTTTACAGATGGGGAAACTGAGGCCCACAGAGATGTTAGGACTTATTAAGTCACCGAGCCAGTAAGTGGCAGAGGTGGGATTTGAACCCTCACCCTGGGTCCAGAGTTCATCACTTCACCCCTTACCCAGGCTGTGGGTTCCAGGAGGTCAAAGACCTTCTCTGTTTCCTTTCCTCCTTCTCCCCAGGGTCCAGCATTGAGCCCCGCCCACAGCAGGAGCTCAAAAACTGTTCAGGGGTGTGTTGAGAGTCTTACCTTTGCCTTTGAACTTCTCCAGGACTTGGGGCTGGCCCCCAACCAAGGCCAAGAACTCGGCCTCGAGTTCCTCATCATTAACTCCATCCTCAGCGATCATCAGGCCGTCTGGGGAGAGGTCAACCAGCAGGCCCAGCTGAGGGAACAGCAAGGGTCCAATCAGACCTCGGAGGCAGCCAGGATGGACCCAGAGTTCCCTCAGGAGGAAGGAAACCCAGACCTCCTGGGGAAAGTCATTTTCCCTGGGGAGTGCCAGGAGGCCGGAACAAGCTCAGAATGCAACAGGTGTCCCAAGATGGGCCAGGCCCTCTGGCACAGATCAACACGGGGCAAAGGGCAGGCAGAGACCCTGCTTCCTGCTCTGAGCCCACGCCCATGATATGCTGCTGACCAAGTTCAGTGGGAAAAGCAGGCCCCACACCCTGCCCAAAGCAAAGCCACTCTCCACACCTGGGCTTTTCCTTCCAGCATACTCAGCAGAGGGGGCCATGCAGGAAGGATGCAAGAGCAAATAGAAGCCCGGACAACAACAAAGAAGTTGAGAGTGGGGTTTTCATTGGATATTGGACCTGGGACAAGGGAAGCTATCCCATCCTGGTTCATGACCAATCTTGATGTGATAATATTATGTTGAACTATACAAAATTGCCTTTTCTGTGGGTCAAAATGGGCAATTACGTATCGTTCCTTTTAAGAATAATAACGAAGATACACTTACTGAGTGTTATGTTCTAGCACTTTCCATAAACTATTTCAATGAATTTTCACACCTGTCCTGTGACATAGGGACTGTTAGGGCCTCCATTTTATAGATGAGGAATCTGAGGCATAAGAGCTGTGAAGCCAAGTGTCCAACGTACAAAGGCCAGCAGGGAACTCCAGGCTGGCCAGACTCTAATACCCCAGCACTAAGCTGTGGCCTGGGCTTCTTCCATCAAAGCTGAGAAAAAACAAACTGTCCAGGTGCCTGAGGTAGAGGAGATGGAGGAGGGAAAGGAGAGCCAGACATAGTCCCATGGGCTCATGGCAGCAGCTCTGGATTTGCACTTAGCTCTGGCCAAGCTGTTAATCCCTATGACCTTGGGAAGCTGTCTTCACCTCTCTGGGCCTCAGTGTCCTCATCTGTACAGTGGGGATAAAATGAGTCTGATCTGGCCTGGCCGATGGGAGGTTCCGTGCGTGTTCGGGCCAGGAGTGCAGGAACTATCCTTATCCCAGGTCCGAGGCCTTCCCCTCCCAAACTGGAGAGGCTGCGGCAACAGGTGGCCCTGAGCCCAGGGCGGGGCGCCAAGAGCTGAGAAGCTGGGGAGCCGGGGCCAGAAGGCCGCACTCTGGGGGCAGAACCTCATCTGGAGGGCGGGGACCGGGGCTTACCTGCGGGTGGTGATCGGGTTTCCCTGGGGGGGTGGGGCCCTCCCCTGAACCTGTGATAGGGCTGAGTAGGGTTCCCTAGGCGAGGCCGTGGGGTACAAACTCACCTGGCGGGCGGCGGCGGCACCTCGGCCTCGGGGTCCCGGGGGTCCCTTCCTCTTGTGCATCTTCCAGGCTGGATGCCCAGGCCACTGGCCACCTCGCCTGGCCTTGCCCTGCTTCCTCCCCCGGGGCCTATTACCGCGCACGCGCACTTCCTGAGCCCCGCGCCCCTTGCGAGCTCCCCGCGACCGCTGACCCTGCGCCCTCGACCCCCGGTGTGGCCGCCTCACTTCCGCCTTGGCCCTCAGGCGCCGCGGCACCGGAGCGCAGCCACTGGACTTCCTGGGCCCGCCGCACTGAAACTACAACTCCCGGCAGGCAATGCGCGGGTACGCGTGCGTACTGCGGGGCGGTGGGCGGTGCTGTGGGCTGCGCCGGGAAAGAGGCGGGTCGCGCGCGGTGTGTGAGTGTGAGGGGCGGTGCTAGCATGGCGCATGCGCACGACTGGGCCGCTGGTTGCGCGGGAAAGAGGCGACGCGCACGAGCCGGTGTGAGGGTCGGTGCTGGCTCCCGGACTCGCGGCGTCCCGTGGCCACCTGTGGGCTCTGGCTTCTCCTGGCGGCCCCGTTCTGGGCATTCCACACTTTTAGGTGGTCGAGGTGGAGTTAATGTAGGTCTGGTCACCGGAAGTCAGGTTCATAGCTCTCAGGCTTCCGGCCTTCCCGCCCTTCAGCTCCAGACCCCCTGCTGCCCGGCCTCCGTGAGAGCCAACTTTGCCTTTTATTTTCTCAGAAAATCCTAACGCAAATGACTTAACCGAATTGTTTCCCAACAGATCCGGGCAGACCTACTCCGTTCCTGATAAGGACAGAGCGACCTTGACAACTTCAGTGGCCCAGGTCGGTTGGGGCTTGTCTGGACCCCAGGGTTGGCAGGAGCTGGTCTGTGGTGACTCCTGCTTCCGGGCCCCAGGCATCCCCCACAAGGCTCCCTGAACCTTCGAAGGGCCCCAGGTGGCTTCTTCCAGAATCCTCGGGTGTCCCTGCAAGGGTCTCAGACCACAGCCAGAGGGGAGGCGGCTTCACATAGCCTGTCCCAATTTAGGGACTAGAGTTGGGGTCGTCAGGGCTTCCCTGGATGGGCAGATGGGCAGTTCCCTCTGCTCCCTGCAGCATGAAGGAAGGTTGAATTCTTACCGGGTCATGGCCCAAGGTGGTTGTGACTCCCCCTACCGTGTCCCCTTGGAGCCCAGCTTGGCCCCCCAGCCAGATAGGGTGAGGTGGAGTGAGGGTGGTTTCTGCCCTCAGCCAGGGTCACTGGGTCTGTCTATACCCAGAGACAGGGACTACTTGTAATGATGGGATTTTGCTCATTTTCAGGTTTTTCAAAAGAGGGATAAAATGAGTAAGAGGAAAAAGCTTCGGACTTCAGGTATTTGGACATTCAAGTTGGCACTGCTTTATTGCTGCTTCTGGTTATAGGAGGATTGTAGGTTTATTTGTTGCAGAAATGCTAACATGACCACATCAAGCTCCTCAGGGAAAAAGGTGATTTAATACATGCTAGTAAGAAAAGTATAAATTGTAGGTAGTTCATACAGTAGAAAGTGAAAGCTTTCTGGAGTTTCCTCCAGTCTCTGGTGGGATCCCATGGGCTTAGGCCAGGGGTGCACTCTCAGAGACAACCTTTGAATAGAGCTACAAGGTCTTTGAGGTGCTACAGGGTCATTGGGTGTGTGGTTAAGTGTTTTGCTTTGGAATCAAAACCCTGGGTTCATCCCAGCTCTCAGGCTCCCTGTGCTATGGCAGATGATTTACTCTGTACCTCAGTTTCCCACTTCTGTAAATAGAGGATAATAAAGGCACTTTCCCTTCCATTCAAACAATGATTCTCAGCCTGGTTGGGGGAGGATTTGTGCCCCTCAGAGGACACTGGAAATGTCTAGAGACATTTTTGGTTTCTATAACTGATGTATCTGGTGCAGGCTGGTTACTGGCATTTAGCGGGTTGAGGCCAGGGATATACTAAATCCTACAATGCACAGGACAGTTGCCCACAATACAAAATTATCTGGTCCCAAATATCAAGAGTACCAAGGCAGAGAACTCGCCCTAGAGCTCATATGTGGATTAGTATTTGTAAAGCATGAAGGATAGACCTTAGGTAGTACACAAATGTTAGCTGGTATTATGATTCTCCTCCCAGACTTAAAACAAAATAAAACAAAAACCCACAAATCTTTTCATTCTGAAATAATTGGGGACTTACAAAAAACTTGCAAAAATAATTCAGAGTTCTTTCTACCCTACCTCCAGCTTCCCCTAAGGTTAATGTCCAACGCAACCACAGGACAATGATAAATCACAGGACAGCATCTAAAGCCAGGCAATGAACCTCAGTACCCTACTTCCAAACTTCTTTGTATACACAAATACAGTGTTTTTTTACTAGACAATAGAATCATCACACATGCTGATCTGTAATTCCCATTTTTCATTTTATGGAATATCATGACCATCTTTATTTGTTCGTGTGTGTGTCTGTGTGTGTGTGTATATACACATAAATGTATATATGTAGTTTTCTCATGCACAAAGAAAAACACCTAGCACTGCATAGCATAGCTCATTTCCCTGTCATTGTTGAAGATAATTTAAACTTCTTAAAAGTTTAGAAATGAGGGGCGCCTGGGTGGCTCAGTGGGTTAAAGCCTCTGCCTTCAGCTCAGGTCGTGATCTCAGGGCCCTGGGATCGAGCCCCGCATCGGGCTCTCTGCTCGCAGGAGCCTGCTTTCCCCTCTCTCTCTCCCTGCCTGCCTCTCTGCCCACTTCTGGTCTCTGTCTGTCAAATAAATAAATAAAATATTTAAAGAAAAAAAAAAAAGTTTAGAAATGAGGGTGCCTGGGTGGCTCAGTTGTTAAGCGTCTGTCTTTGGCTCAGGTCACGATCCCAGGGTCCTGGGATCAAGCCCCTCATCGGGTTCCCTGCTCAGCTGGAGGCCTGCTTCTCCCCCTGCTTGTGTTCCCTCTCTCACTGTCTCTTTCTGTCAAATAAATAAATAAACTCTTTGGGAAAAAAAAGTTTAGAAATGACTACTTACTGGATAATGAGCATAAGGAATAGCACTCATTTTTTTTTTTTCCCACAATGTGGGATAGAAAAATTAGCAATGGATTAAAAATGTTTTGTGTAGAAATGAGCAACAGGCTGCTCGGAAACATAGGAATTTCTCTGACCTTGCTGGGGGAAGCTGGGGACAGCCAGGCCCACCCACAGCAGGTCATTTGGGGCCTCTCTTGGCAGTGGGCTCCCTAGCTCAGTGGATCCAAGGCTGGTCCAGGACAGCTGTTTCTGTGTGTCCTGGAAGAGGTGGGGACAGAAGAAGACGATTCTGGCAGGTGGTGAAAGAAGCCCTTCCCTCCCAACATCTTCGGCCTTTGGTGTTGAACATAAAGTTCTGCCTTTAGTTTTTCTTAAATTAGTCCTGTGGGGATAGATCACAGGAAGGAAATGGGAGGCTCTTCACTTCTGTTGATATTTTGGTTTTTATTTGGTGTACATGTCCACTGGATGAGCAAAGTGAGCTAGTGTTTGGGCATCTTAAGAAACCAAATAAACAAAGCTGCTTAATTTTGCCTCTTTTTTTGGCAGACCACAAGATGGGAAAATGGTGGTGTAAGAAGCATTCATTGGAGCCTTGCTCTGAGTGCAGCACTGGGGTGGACACCTAAGCAGGGTGGGGTGACAGGCAGGACAAGGAGGAGATCAGAGGGTGCAGTAGACTCAGTTCCTGCCCTTGTGACCCTTAGGGTCTACTCAGGGGAGAAAGAAAAAAATGCTTCTACCTGAGAGCACTAATCAAATACGCAGCAGTACAGTGAAGTTCTAAACGGGCACACCATAACTTACGGAATCCAGAAATTATGAGAAAGTCACGGTGGTCTTCTGGAGCACAAACAGCCGAGTGAATGCTAATAAGGACCCTGGTGATCAGTACTGGGGAGAGGGAGCTTATTCAATGGGTTTGCTTCAAGCTGTGCAAGGAGCTGAGGTTGGAAAGGGTCTCCCTGACAGACCTCCAGAAATATCAGGCCAGGGTCTGGTTTGCCTTTTTGTTCTCACTGTGGGGTGAGAGGTATAGTCCATAGTAGGTGCTCAATAAATACTCAAGTACCTTTAGGTGTGCAGGCTCTGCAGTTGCACTGACTGGATCCCATTCCAGATTCCTTGGCCTCCATGTGCCTTAGCTTTCTAATCCATAAGGTGGATGTAACAGTGGGAACCCCATCTTGAAGTTTATCATAACGCACCCAACTTCTCAGGACAGCGTCTGTCATGGAACTCACTAGATTCAACCCTTATCATTTTTTTTAAAAGATTTATTTATTTATTTATTTGACAGAGATCACAAATAGGCAGAGAGGCAGGCAGAGAGAGGAGGAAGCAGGCTCCCCGCCGAGCAGAGAGCCTGATGCGGGGCTCGATCCCAGGACCCTGAGATCATGACCTGAGCCGAAGGCAGAGGCTTTAACCCACTGAGCCACCTAGGTGCCCCTGTTGTTTTTTTTTTTTAAGATTTTATTTATTTATTTGACAGAGAGAGATGACAAGTAGGCAGATAGGCAGGCAGAGAGAGAGGGGGAAGCAGGCTTCCTATTGAGCAGAGAGCCCGATGTGGGACTCGATCCCAGGACCCTGAGATCATGACCTGAGCCGAAGGCAGAGGCTTAACCCACTGAGCCACCCAGGCGCCCCTATCATTTGTTTTTTGAATGATTGGTTTAGGGCCAGGTTTGGGGAGGTCTTAGAAGTCAGCCACTATTGGCAGTTTCTGTGTAAGGAAGTTTCCTTCATTTAGCAAATAGGTGTTAGGCTCTTAATTGTTTGTTTTTTGCAGTGAGGGGGAAGGTATCACAGAGATAGAAGAGACCAAGGGGCAGCTGGGACATCACTTTCCTAGTACTTGACGACTCTAGGTCCCAGTTTTCCCAGGACAGACAATCTGCAGGCATCACAGAAAACTAGAGTGGCACGTAATTTAGTCCTGTCTGTGTTTCCTGGTGGTGATCTCTGTTTTACAGAGATGTTTCTTCAGTCATCTACCAGGTATTTATTGGGCGCCAACAGTGTACTAGATGATCTTCAAGCCACTTGAAACTCAGCAGAGGGTGAGAAAGACCCCTCCTTATATTGAGGGAGATGGAAAATAACCAGTGCATAGCTACTGGCAAAAAAAAACAAAAACAAAAAACTGGAGTGGGGGTGCGTGGGTGGCTCAGGTGGTTAAGCTTCCAACTTGACTTCAGCTCAGGTCATGATCTTAGGGTTGACCTCGAACCATGTGTCAGGCTCTGCACTGGGTGTGGAGCCTGCTTAAGAGTCTCTTTTCCTCCCCTCCCCTCTCTCTCTCAAAAAAATTAAATTTTTTAAAAAGCTGTGAAGAGAATAAAAAAAAAAAAGAGCATGGATCTGAAAGAGGGTGCTCTTTAGAGGAGTCAGGAATGGCCCTTTACATCAGCATTTGAGCTGAGACCCAAGGAAGCCAGTACACACCTCTCACCACCTTCCTAGAGAGACAGTTGGCTGGGCCAGGTTATCTGACGTAGTTTGGTGCCAGGCCACCTCAGGATTCAGTCTCAGTCACGACCGGTCCTTAGGTAAAAAGCCTTTAAATCCCATGGTCACCTAAGCTCTTGGACAAGGTACCATCCCATCTGTCTCTCTCCAGGCTAGAGTCAGAGCAGGGGTTTCCTACCCTTGGAATAAGCTTGCTCATGTTGCAGCTGTGGCCCTGCCACGTTTGGTGTCAGCCATGGCAGTGCACACTCCCTGCATCTCCCATCCCTTTATCTTCCTTTCTCTCTAAATCAGGAGGAGAAGGAGTCCGTCCTCCGAAGGCCCCAAAGAACCCAAGGCTAGGAGACTCTGACAGGCCCCCCCAGAATTCTGAGTGGGGCTCTTTGTGTCTCCCTGAAGAGTCAGAAAGCACATCAGAACCCGTTCCCTCTACAGAGCAGAAGACGGAGGAACCAGTACAGACAGCCTCCAGGTAGGTGCCTTGGAACATTCCAGCCAGCCTCCCCACCAACAGAGACCTCAGCCCAGTAGACAGGATGCAAAGGGGAGGGGACCAACATAACCCATCCAACTCCACACCTCCCCCTGGGCAGGGCGCAGGGGCCCTCGGGTTGCTTCTCAAAGCCTTCCTCCCCAGACTCTCCTCGCTAGCAAGAAAGGTTGATATTTTAACCAGGAGCAAGGAAAAACTTGAATTTTTCAAGATCACTTAATAGTAGAATGCATCTTGTCCTGTCTGCTGATCAGATCCATGTTAATCCTGCATTCCTTCTTGACCAAGAAGGGACTGATGGAGTTGTAGATCTGCAAAATAATAACTCATGAAAGGAGATAGTAGTTCTGTGCCAGACAGCATGCTAATGATAAACACTTTACCACCTATCTATTCGTTTGTACTGTGAGATAGGTTTTTATCCCCATGTCACAGGTGAGAACTCTGAGACTTGGAAAGATCAAATGACTTATTTGCCCAAGGCCACTGAGCTGGTGCAGGGCAAGCTGGAGGCCTGGCTGTGTCTGGCTCCTGTGCTCGTAACCACCATGGTTTCTCAATTCCTCTTTTTTTTTTTCCCAGGAATATGTAATGAAGGGCAGTGGGGGAAAAAGGAGGATCTGGAGAATAGTTTGTTCATGGGGTTAAACCACATGTAACTAGAGCAAAGTAGAAAGGGTTAGCAGGAGTTAGGAGAAGGAGGGTTCCTGCCACCAGAAATCCTCAGAGAAAGCCTCATGGACTGGTCTACTAGGTTTTCTGAGTAAACAATTGCAGCACACAGTCTGACCAACAAAACTGTTTTTGGAGGTGGAAGATGTGTGATCTCAGGTCACTGCAGTTTTAAGATTAAAGGCAGCACTGCTGTGTGCATGATATGAAGAGGGGTCACATGTCACACCTAAGCCATTCTCCCAGGCGCCACAGTATCACTGTACTCCTCCCTCCTGGTGAGGCCAACAGGGCTCATGGAGTCCTAGGCACTGCCCATCTCACTGTCTGAGTCCGTAATAGTCAGAATGCATATAAGTGGGTTCCCACCCTCTTTTTTCTATTTTTGTTTTTAAAATGTTTTATTAAGAAATACCATGTGTGTGGTGTCTGGATGGCTCAGTCGGTGAACCGTCTGGCTCTTGTTTCGGCTCAGGTTGTGATCCCAGGGTCGTGAAATCAAGCCCTGCATTGAGCTCTGCAGTCAGTGCAAAGTCTGCTTAAAGATTCTCTCTCCCCTCTGCCCCTTCCCCACACATGTGCTCTCTCTCTCTCTTTCCCTCTCAGATAAATAAATACATCTTAAAAAAAAAAAAAAAGGGGGTGCCTGGGTGGCTCAGTGGGTTAAAGCCTCTGCCTTCGGCTCAGGTCATGATCCCAGGGTCCTGGGATCAAGCCCCACATCGAGCTCTTTGCTCAGCGGGAAGCCTGCTTCCCCTCTCTCTCTCTCTCTGCCTGCCTCTCCACCTGCTTGAGATCTCTCCCTGTCAAGTAAATAAATAAAATCTTTAAAAAAAAAAAAAATGTGGAGTGCCTGAGTGGCTCAGTCGTTAAGCATCTGCCTTCAGCCTAGGTCACAATTCCAGGGTGTTGGGATCGAGCCCTGCTCAGGCTCCCTGCTCAGCGGGAGGCCTGCTTCTCCCGCTCCTACTCCCCCTGCTTGTGTTCCCTCTCTCGCTGTGTCTTTCTCTGTCAAATAAAATCTTAAAAAAAAAAAACAAAGAAAGAAAGAAATACCATGTGCATAGAAGTATAACAGGAAAAAAGCCAATATAAAGCAAACAAACTTAACACATTTATGTTGAGAAATGAAATATTACCTTACAGGCCACCCAAACAACCCATTCTGAATAAAGATTTTCAAATAGGGGCACCTGGGTGGCTCAGTCGTTAAGTGTCTGCCTTCAGCTCAGGTCATGATCTCCAGGTGCTGGGATTGAGCCCCTCATCAGGCTCCCAGCTCAGCAGGGAGTCTGCTTCTCCTTCTCCCTCTTCGTCTCCTCCTGCTTGTGCTCACTCTCTGTCTCTCAAATGAATAAATAACAAATATTTTTAAAAATTTCTTTTCAAAAAAAAAAATTTCTTTTCAAACAGACTCTTGCTATCAGTATCTAGATTTATTCTTTCTCCAACAGCTCCCTAATACAATTTAAACCTGTTACACATCTTCATGCTTTTTCCTGTTCCACTTCTAAAATTTCTAAAATTGAAATTTTTTTAAAAAAATTTTATTTATTTATTTGACAGAGAGAGAGAGTGAGAGAGGGAATAGAAGCTGGGGGAGTAGGAGAAGGAAAAGCAGGCCTCTCGCTGAGCAGGGAGCCTGATGCAGGGCCTGATCCCAGGACCCTGGGATCATGACCTGAGCTGAAGGCAGACGCTCAACGACTAAGCCACCCAGGTGCCCCTAAAATTGAAATGTTGAAGTTTTAGTTCCAGATTTTGATCTTTTTTTCTTAACAATATATACATCCACGTTTATTTAGATAAAACCATAAGTCTCAGATGTTTTTTAAAAAGACCTGGTTTTGGGGCACCTGGGTGGCTCAGTGGGTTAAAGCCTCTGCCTTCGGCTCAGGTCATGATCCCAGTGTCCTGGAATCGAGCCCCACATCATGCTGTCTACTCAGTGGGGAGCCTGCTTCCTCCTCTCTCTCTGCCTGCCTCTCTGCCTACTTGTGATCTCTGTCAAATAAAATAAAATCTTTAAAAAAATTTTTTTTAAATAAATAATAAAAAGACCCAGATTTTTAGAGACTTTTAGGTTTATAATTTAATTTTTTTAAAGATGTTATTTATTTATTTGAAAGAGAGACACAGTGTGAATGAGTGAGTAAGCACGAGCAGGGGGAAGGACAGAGGGAGAGGGAGAAGCAGAGTCCCCACTGAGTGGGGAGCCCAGTACCGGCCTCGATCCCAGGACCCCAGGATCATGACCTGAGCTGAAGCCAGACGCTTAACCGACTGAGATACCCAGGCACGCGGTTTACAATAATATTGAAGAGAAGGTATGGAGATTTCTCATAGCCGCCCCCAACGCCGCCCCCCTGCCCATGATCACCATCTCACCAGAGTGGTACATTTGTTGCCAAGGATGGACTTGCACTGACATATGATAATCACCCACAATCCACAGTTTATTTTAGAGTTCACTCTGTGTTGTATGTTCTTTGGGTTTGAGCAAATGCAGGATGACATGTATCCACCATTATAATCTCATACAGAATATTTTTGCTGCCTAAAATCCTGTGTTCCATCTGTTCATCCCTCCCCTCCCCAACCCTGGCACTACTGATCTTTTTATTGTCTTCATAGTTTTGCCTTTTCCAGAATGTCAAAAAGTGGCAATCATACAGTATGTAGCCTTTTCAGACTGGCTTCTTTCACTTAGGAATATGCATTTAAGTTTCCTCTCAGTCTTTTCATGGCTCATTTCTTTTAGCGCTGAATAATACTCATTGTTAAGAAAAAAGATCAAAATCTGGAACTAAATCTTCAAAATTTCAATTTTAGGGGCGCCTGGGTGTCTGGATGCACACGGTTTAGCCATTCACCCGCTGAAGGCTGCCCCAGTTGCTTCTGCAGCTTGGCAATTACGAATACACCTGCTTTTTTATTTTTTATTTTTTAAAGATTTTATTTATTTATTTGACAGAGAGAGAGCACAAGCAGAGGGAGTGGGAGAGGGAGAAGCAGGCTCCCTGCGGAGCAGAGAGCCCGATGCAGGGCTCGATCCCAGGACCCTGGGATCATGACCTGAGCCAAAGACAGAAACTTAACTGACTGAGCCATCCAGGCACCCCTACACCTGCTTTTTTGACACTTTTTTTTTTTTTTTTTTTGGATCTACACCTTCATTTCTCTAGAATTTATAGAGTTGGGGGTTGGAGTGTTATTCCAAATGGGAATTCTTATTCTTATTTTAGGAGCCAATTCCTGGAATTACAAGGATGAACTGCTACAGGAGCAGACAGCTTGGATTCTAGCTGTGGGTCTCTGCACCCTTCTTGTCAGCCAAGTGTCACCATAGGCACCGCTTCCCTTCTCCCTCCCATCCGCTCTAAGCACGTGCTCTAGGGCCTGCCTCCCTTACAGGAGACTGAGCACCACTTTCCTCCGTTTGCCTCACCACATGCACTGACAGCATCCCAGGACTTCCGAACCTCCCCTGTTTTGTCTTTTTCCATCCAGCTCCCATGATGAAGAAGCAGGAGCTCCCTCCAGGCTCCTCGGGCAACCAGAAAAGGAGCCAGTTCCTTCTCCTCTTTCCCAGGTGAGCCTGTTTTAGGGTCTCATGAATGAACCAATGACACTGCCTCCCTTAAGCTGGAATTCTTGTCTCCATTCCTCACCAGAAGGCTGACAGGTTGGTGAGACTGTGCGCTGGGGATGGAGGGCAAGGGCTGCATTTGAGGCTGCAAGAAAGAAACTGGTTTGGCATTTGTTTTCTGAAACCTCATTCCTCCCCTTATCTTTATTGCTGTTTTGTTCTTGTTTCCCCTTCACAGAACCCAGCCAGGAGGTTTGTCCCCCAGTTTGCAAAACCCAGGAAGACAGTGACAGGACAAGCAGAGCCGAGAGAAGAGGACCTCTGGGACGGAGCCCCTAAAATCAGCCAGGTCAGCCCGTAGACACAGCTTCTTCTTGGCCCATCCTTGGCGCTGACTTCAGCCGTGGTCTTCTTTGGCGCTGGCTAGACCCGCACCGGTCAGCGTGCCCCTTTCCAGTGCACCGCGCTACAGATGTCTGTGGAGTGCGCACCAGGCCTATGCGAGGTGCTCAGGACGGCTGTGCCTGCAGCAAAGCAGTCAAGGCCACAGCCCTCTTCCCCAGGATGCATAAGAGTAGTAAAAATGCAGAAAGACAGCCCATATTCTATCCCTGAACCCCTTTGCTTCTTGGAAGATTTTGTGTGGTTTGGGGGAGGAGGGTGGGTCTTAAAATATACTCTCTCGTCCTTTCCACTGTGAGCTCTGAGGGTGATGATGTCTCTGGCAACAGAGGCCCCTGCACAAGTGAGGGGTGGGCATTCCCAGCAGCTGTGTTTGTAATCATCCCAAACTGGGAACACCCCAGATATCCTTCAGGGGGTGAATGGCTAAACACGCCATGGTACACAACCCAGTAATTAAAGAGCAACAAACAAGTGAAACGCAACAATCTGGATGGACTTGCAGGGCATTGTGTGGAGTGGGAAAAGCCAGTCCCGAAAGGTGATACACTGCAGGGTTCCGTTTGCATGACATTATTGAAATGAGAAAATTATAGAGATGGTGGGGAGGTTAGTGGTTGCAGGGGGTTGGAGTGGGGTTGGCAGGGTGGAGGGAGGCGAGTGTGGCCACACATGGCAGCACAGTGATCCCATGGTGGCGACTTTTCGTATCTTGTCTGTGTGGTGGATGCACAGCCTCCACCATGAGAAGGAACTTCCTACACACATCCAAACAAGCATAACTCAAACTGGAAAGCCAAACAAGGTCGGTGAACTTTATCGACGTCAGCATCTGGGTTGTGATATTGTACTTGAGTTATGCAAGATGTTACCCCTGGGGGAACCGGGTAAAGGGCATGAGGAGTCTTTCCCATCATTTCTCATAACTGCATATAAATCTACAATGATCTCACAAAAAGTTTAATTTAAAAACAAGAAGCATTGGGGTGCCTGACCAGCTCGCTCAGTGGAGCATGTGACTCTTGATCTTGGGGTTGTGAGTTCAAGCCCCATGTTGGGAGTAGAGCTTACTTAAAGTTAATTAACTAGTAAGAGGGGTCCTAGCTTCACTGTTGACTGCGGGAAACACTGTGTAACTCAGCAGCTGGTTGCCAGTGGCTTCTCCGAAGCCAAATTGACAGGCTCTGGCCTTCAGTGGTCTGATACTGGCAGTGCAGACCCTCCTAGAAAGGCTGGGCTTGATTGGTGTAGGGAGTAACTCTGGCAGAGGTTTCTCCCTCAGCACTGGTCACTGCATGAGAGAAGTGTGGGAAGGTGGACAACTGCTGTCTATAGAGTGCCCTTGGGTACAAACCTCTGTCCCTACCTACCAAATGTAATTATTTGCTGTCCAGTTTGGAGGGAGACTTGATGGCATGGATGTGAGGGGAGGGAGTCAATGGAGGGCTGACTCCATGGTTTGGGGCCTGAATAGCTAGAAGGATGGAGTTATTGTTGTCGAGACAGGGAACCTCTGAGGGCACGCTCAGGAGCTGGTGTCAGCCATGCATCATCGGAGATGACTGGGAGATACCAGGTGGAAATGTTGGCTACCAGCATCCAGAGCTGGGGGAGATCCAGGGGCTGCAGTGCTTCTGGAGGTTTAGGCCTGAGAGCCTGGATCAAGCTGCCATCTACCTAAAGGACAGTTACATATCTACGTCCCAGCCAGAACCCTCCTTTCCCACCCTGCTCTGGTCATCTCTACCACTGTTAGGGACATTTCACTTCACTTCCTTCTCCCTCTTGCTCTTTTAAGTCTTTATCTTGAAATAATTATGAACTCCTAGAAAGTTGCAAAAATAGCACAGACCCAAGTGTCCATCAGTAGATGAACAGATAAACAAAATGTGGCATATCCATATGATGAAATATTATTCAGCCGTGAAAAGCAAAGACATTCTGACACCTGCTACAATATAAGTGAACCTGGAGGACATTATGCTCAGTGAAATAAGCCAGCCACAAAAGGACAAATACTATAGGATTTCATTTATAGGAGGTCCCTAGAGGAGGCAGGGGCTCTTGGGTGGCTCAGTTGGTTAAGAGTCCAACTCTTGATTTTGGCTCAGGTCATGATCTCAGAGTCATGGGATCAAACCCCACATCGGGCTCCGTGCTGGAGCCTGCTTAAGATTCTCTCCCTTCTCCCCCACCCCTCATGGTGCACACACACTGTCTCTCAAAAAAAAAAAAAAATTGTACAGGGAGAGAATAGTTGGTGGATACCAGGTGCTGGAAGAGAAGGGTGGGGAGTTGTTTCATGGGAACAGAGTTTCGGTTTGGGAAGATGGAAAGAGTTCTGGAGATGGATTGTAGTGATGTTTGTACAACAAAGTAAACGTACTTTATGGTGCTGAACTGTACACTTCAAAATGGTTAAGATGCCGAGTTTTATGTAATGTGTATTTTACCACGAAAAAACAAAACACTTCAGAGAGGTCTGTGTGTGCTCTCCTCCCGTTTCCTCCAGTGGTAACATGTTCTATAACTAGCATCTTTTGCTAGCACCAGGCAATCAACATGGGCACAATCCACAGGCCTCCTTGATTTTTGTATCCTTGATCTGTCCAAGAGCCTCTGTGTGCCTGGTGCTGGTGGAAAGGAGCTGATGGAAGGAGGGATTCCTGTGCTTCCTCTTGCCCGTGCAGCCCCTGGTTCTAACTATGGCCAGCACTGGTACTGAATGTTATTTGGGGATATCATGTGCAGCGTCTGAGACTTTATATGGGGGGTAATTACAACTGGAAAAGTCTTGGGACACCTGAGTGGCTCAGTCAGCTAAGTGTTCAACTCTTGATTTCAGCTCAGGTCTTAATGTCAGGGTCATAAGTTCAAGCCCCACATTGGGCTCCACGCTGGGCATGGGCCTACTTTAAAAAAAAGAAAAAAATCTTTAGAAATGGTTGATAATTGAAAGCTCGAGGCTGAGTGTTTTTCTCTCCACAGGAGACACCACCAGAGCCCAGTGCCCAGCAGGCCAGAAGCCAGCCGTGGGAGGAATCCCTAGGGCTTGCTCCCTGGGAGGCCAGGGAGCTGAGTGCCCAGACCCAGAGAGACAGCACCCACCCTGAGCACAGAGACCGAAAGCCCATGACACATGTGCCTGGCAGTGGGAACCCTCAGCCCTCAGCCTCCATTGATGCCTCTCCAGAATGGGGGACAGTGCCCTTGGCCTCCAAGAGGGCCAGCCAGGACCACGTGTTGGAGCAAGTAACAAACACACCAGAGGGTGAAAGCCGGGAAGGGTGTTGGGTTCTAGGCTATCATGGCCAGAAAGGTCCCCGGCTGAGCGGTGGTGCTGCAGAGAAGGAGTCAGAACAAGGGGCACTCCAGAAAGCAAGTCCCCGAGGGGGAGTAGGGGCTGACCTGCCTGAGGGGCATCAGGAGGAAGGAGACAGTGTCGTAGGTCCTATCACTCAGGGCCCGGAGCCCAGATCTGCAGCCCAGGGCCTCCCTGACACCTTGGATATAACCAGTGAGACTGGCAGGGAAGCAGAACAGAGTTGTAGCAGCCCAAGACACTCCTCCCTTGGGACCGTTGTCATCAAAGATCTGAGCACACACCCCACTGAGCCAGAACAGAGGGCTCTGGAGGTTATCGGGCCAGATGAGCAGGCCAACACGAGGGCACCTACTTGTCCCAGTGGGAAGGCCCCTGATAGAGGCTGCAGTGGGACCCTGCTCAGTGGCACACCTCTCACTGGGGGGACAGGACATAGAGGGGAGGCAGGGTGGGAAGACAAGCTCCCTGGCAACATTCTAGGGGGCCCTGCAGCCTGCCTGGCTCTGGGTCACAGGATAAGAGAGCCCACGATAGGTGCAGATTTCAGTCTTCTAGCCTCGGAAATGGGCCCAAGTATTAATCAGACAAAGGTGCCTGGCCTGGATCGAGAGGGGCTGGGAGGTGTGTGTGCACTGCCTTTGCTGTTGCAGTCCACAGGTAAAAAAGCAGTTGAGTTAGGTCGCCAGAGCCCTGAACAAGACCTTGAGGGATTCAATCTGTCTCTTGGAGCCTTTGCTCCACCGGTGCACAGAGAAGCAGTGGGTGGCCCTTCGCAGGAGACCAGGGCCTGCCAGGACAGCATAGATGTCCCTGCGGACCCCACAGGCTGGCATGAGCCCCCTCCTGGCTCTGCAGACCAGGCTGTGTTGGGAGAGTCCCCAGCCATGGAACCTGACTTCCTGCCAGACAGCCAGATACGGAATGCCCTGGAAGCCCCTGACTTCGAAGCCTCACCTGAGCAGGTAGGAGCTTCCCCATGTTGTGGCAGACCATCCCAGGACAGGTGTCAAGTGGCCATGAGCCTCTTCCAAACCACCCAGTAGGGGGTGCGTGGAATTTGGGGTGCATGACAATCTGTTTTTATGCCACACATATCTAGAGGAATGAGTTGCAGATTTGGTGGGTATGGAGTCAGTGATTTTCCAGAAAGGACAGACCTGCCTTTCTGTAAGGGGTCTGTTTGGGAGCTGAAGAGCCCCAGGCAGTGACCTGCACGTATTTTGTCAGCCTAGGCAGAGTTAATGGAGGTTCTCCCTTTCTTGACTGGAGCCCCCAGTTCTCTCCACACTTCAGGGCCTGACTCTGGCGGCAGGTTTCTGAGAGATACACAGAGACTGCCTGAGACCTTGAGCGATAACTTTGAAAAAACCAGCCATGTCAGGACTGGGCTTAGGGGAGAGGACTTCAGTCCCCAACTGGAAAGAGCCTTTGTCCACCTTAAAGGTCATTTCAGGGTCCTGATACGATTTTTTTTTTTCCAAACATAGAATTTTGCTTTCCTGCTGGAATTTGTAGGGACTCTGCTTTCCTTTAGGGATCTGCCTGCTCAACAGGCAGTGGGAGAGCAGCCTAGCATCTCCTTCCGCAGCTGCTGAACCTATGCAGGCCATTGGCATTCACCTGTCTGGGGCAGGTGGCAGCCTTGCTCTGGCCCCGCCCCCAGGGAAGCGCCACATCCCTCACCACTGGCACACGGGGTTCTGGGTTAAGTGCTTTGCAGTCACACCCTGGGAGGTAGGTGGTTCTCTTTCCACATCCTGGGTGTGGTTAAGAGGCTGAAGGAGTCCAGGCACCTGCCCAAGGTGACACAGCTAGGAGGGAAACAGGCTGGGTCTGCTCCCAGGTTGGCCTGATTCCATACCTGTGCCTCAGATACCTTGTCCTGGAGCACGGAGCCCAGCTTGCTTCACAAACAGCGGCCTCTGTTTTTCTGGCTGTCCTGTTGAGATCTTTAAAACATTAATTCAGTTACATGCTTATCAAGGGCCTGCTCTGCCAGGAGTCAGCAGATTAGGTGTGGTCCCTGCCCCTGCGAGGTTTGTGGTAGTACCGTTCCCACCTGCATCCCAGAGTGGCCATCCTGTACCCTATCATTTCAGCACTTAAAGAGTCTTTTCATACGACATGGCCCTGAAACACAGGCATAGTGTTTCCTCTGTACCGAGCCGAAGAAAGCCAGCTGCTCCAGCCGCAGAGGGGAATGTGGCTGGGTTGGGCAAATGCGGGTCTCCAAGGTGCCGCTTTCCCAAGGGAGGGCCAGGGGTCATTTTTGGTGCTTCACAGTGTTCACCTGCCAGGTGACGTCAGACCAGGCCCTCCCTGCTACACGGGGGCCCCCGACTCCTTGCGCCACCCATTTCTCAGTTGCCAGATGAGCAAGATCATGGGAAGCAAGTCACAGTGCAGTCCAGTCCTAGGGTCTGAACACAATCATCTAGGATATGTAGGCGTGCAGGTGTGGGCACAGCTGAAATTTTATAACTGGAGTCTCATCCATTGAACAATATAAATCCCTCCCTTGGAAAGAAAAGGCTGCTGGTCAGTGGCTAAAGGAGAAGCGGTTGGGACATTTAGCGGCATCCAGCCGGTAAAGGAGCAAGTCCTTCCTGATGGGCTGGCTACCATTGACTCTGGGCTTTAAAACACCAAGGAATCCGCAGGCAGGGAATGGCAGACAGCCGGGGTGGTCAGACCTGACAGGCCCTTCAGGGGCAGAGGCGCTGCCCTGACAAGATTGCTGACGTCCAGACACATTTTGTTTTGATACCGGGCGTTCCCAAACATGTCAGGGCGACCTCGGCATGAGCAGGTTCCCACAGAAAGGTACCAGATAGAGCCTGGCAGGAAGGCTGGTGGACAGGGACACTTGGGAACAGAATCAGGTGGATGGAGAGAGTGGCAGCAGTGGCCTCCCACCAAGAGGCCCTCCCCGACCACAGTGGGTCAGCTGTGAGCACTGCTTCGGAGGAGGCCTCACAGAGGTTACACAGCAGGGAAAGACCAGTGTCAAACCCAGGTCCCCCTACAGGAAAGCGTGGTATTTTCTTTTTATAGTAGCTCCCTTAGGATGTGACACTCACCACAGGGCTGGTGGAGCCTCTGTATGCCGCATAAGGAGTATCACTTAAAAGCTGATTCCAGGGCGCTTGGGTGGCTCAGTCGGTTAAGCATCTGCCGTTGGCTCTGGTGGTCCTGGATGGAGCCCTGCGTTGGGCTCTGTGCTCAGTGGGGAATCTCTCTCTCCTTCTGTTGCTCCCCCTGCTTGTGCTCTCTCGCTTGCTCTCAAATAAGTAAATAAAATCTTTTTTTTAAATTGTTTTAATTTTTTTAAGGTTTTGTTTATTTATTTGAGAGAGAGAGAGCATGAGCAGGCTGGAAGGGCAGAGGGAGAAGCAGGTTCCCCACTGAGCACGGAGCCCACTGTGAGGTTGGATCCCAGGACCCTGGGATCATAACCTGAGCCAAAGGCAGATGCTTAACTGCATTAACCAGGGTGCCCCAGTAAATAAAATCTTTAAAAAATACAAATTGATTCCAGGGCCCTCTTGGGTCTTACAGTGATGGCTTCCAGCACATTCAGTACAGGGACTGCCCTTTTTGTGTCAAACGTGTACACAGCCCAGGTGGGAGCAGTGGTTGGAGTGTTAGGAGAGGTAAGAGTCCTCACGGCTGAAAATGGTGCAGTGAGGTGGGTGAGTTGTATTTTAAACCAAAGAACCACTTACCTGGAACAAGAGGCCAGATGCCTGGGAGATACTGTATTGTCTACAGCAGGCTTCCGGTTCGGCACTGCTGCCAGATAGTTCTCTGTGATGGGGCTGTCCTGTGCAATTTTGGGTGCTGAGCAGTACCCCTGGCCTCTACCCACTGGATGCCAGTAGCGGTCCCCCCACCAGAGTGTGCTGACCATCATGAAGCACCTTGGGGTGATCGTCCCCCAGTGAGAACCATCGGGCTACAGGCAGTTCATCGCATCTGTTCTTGAGACTCAGGGACGATCCGGCTGTAAGCTGTAGCTCAAGCCGTCCATCCCATCCCCCACCCAGCAGGGGAGAGGGGCCTGCTTTTGAAATTATGTCTTTGGAACAGATCCCTTCTTACTCCACGACTTTGTCTCCTCAGAAGAGGCCGTGGACTGGCCACTCCACCCCAGCCTCTTTGCCTCTTCAGAGGGACCCATGTCCCCTCCATGACTGAGCTTGACATTTTCCATGAAAATTAAACCACGGTTGACATTTAGAAACTTAAGCTTCTCCGGTTCATCTGGCTCTCTCCCCTATTAATTATAAATTTCTCCCTTACCATGTATTTATAAAATCTTTCCCTGACACAAAATAGGTGGCTTACTTAGCCGGCCTCTTCCCCTCAACACCAGATGCCCACTTCGCCCCAGTCACCATCACGGAGGGTCCTCTCTGTACCTTTCTAGATACTGCAGGATGAGCAGGAGGCAGTGCCACGCCTCAGCCGCCAGGAACAGAGCCATCGTCCAACACGGATCAGCCCTACAGAAAGCACAGGCTCGGCAGGGGATACCAGGGTCAGGCCTAACATTGCCCTGTCTGCTCCTTCTGAGTGGGGAGGGCGAGAGCAACCCGGGTTGGTGGCCCCCAGGTTTAGCTGTAACGGTATCCTGTCCCGTCACTCATCACTTTTCTGCAGGGGTCTCTACCTCTGTGCTCCTGGCATGGCCCAGGAGAATTGAGAGGTTCCCTGCATGAGCTCTTCCTTCCCCGTGCGGGGCTCAACCAGCTAGGCCACTCACGTGTGTGTGCCCTCTTTACAGTTGTTTCCTCCCGGGAGCAGGCTGGCCTCTTGCTGGCCTGGCACAAGCCCACATGCTGATGGAAGGCTTCTCACGGAGCTCCAGCTGAGGTAGGCAAGGGGGAGGCTAACCCAGGACTCTTGTCCCAGCAGCAGTTGTCCCTAAGTCCCTGGGAGGGGAGAGTGTCACTGCTTTCCTGGCACTGGCACCCCGACACTCTCCCTCCATGGGCCTCCGTGAGGGAGCCGAGCCCCTTCTTTCACACTGTGCAGCCCTCATTCTACCCAAGTGCAGCGCTGGTGATCCTCCATCTACAGCTAAACCGGAGTGTCTCCCCGGGGCCCCTGGGATAGTACCCCCAGTTCCATAGGTTGTTTTAACAAACTAGGTGTTTTTCTGGAGAGAGGATCTAGAGCTTACCCTGAATCTCTGTGGAGGGGAAGGGGACCCAGACAGGGGTTAAAAACCACTGGTCTTGGGGCCTCTCCCCACTCTGGCATCCAGAGGGCCCTGCAGAGTTCCTGACTTGTCCCATCACCTCACTTGGCTCAGTGCCCTGAGGCAGGCTGCTTTCTCTCCCTCCTGCAGGCCATGGAGAGGGAGAGAGAGAGAGAGAGTGTGTGTGTGAGTGAGTGAGTGTGTGTGTGTGTGTGTGTTGGCAGGTCCTCTGTCTCCACCGCAGAGCCTCTCATAGTCCCTCACCTCCCTTTTTCCCAGCCCTGCCAGCCGTTAGCACTGGGTGACAGTCCTCTCCTGTTACCTTGTACTTGAACTGGCCTCTCTGCAGAGGCTGCAGCTTATCGATTATTCATGGCCAAGTTTCTGTTTGTGTCTGGCAAGAGGTGTGGAGGAGGGGTGAGGGACACAGCCCTTGGCAGAGCAGGTCTCCTTTCTCTTTCTCCTCCTCCTCCTCAGGGTAGAGGGTGACCACGTTCTCACCTCCCGCGCATGCACACATTTGTACATAGTACCTGCTGTACCACTTGTTGCCACACACATGCGCGCCGGCACGCACACACACGCACACACACACCCTGCACGGGATCAGAGGCAGTTTAGCTAGAGCGGCTCTACTACTGTTTGAGCAAAGAGAAGGGAGCTTCTTGTCTGAATCTCCAGTGGCCTCTGATATGACCCACATGGACATGTGGAGGCCCCCAGGCAGGTCATGGGTCTGGCGCAGTGGCCTATGGCTGAGTGAGACAAGCATTGGCTAAGGCCAGGCCCACATGCCATCTCGGGGTGACTGCAGTGGGTGGAGTGGAGCTGGAGTTCCTGTGGTGACAGCCCAGGAGACACTGGCATGCTGGGGTGGAGGAGGATTTAGGAACAGCTGCTGGCCGAGTCCAGGAGGGCAGCCCTCTGCCCACACCCACAGGCTGCATGCATTAGACACAGGGGTGCTGTGGTGCTTCTGCCCCTTCCATGGATACTAACGCCATCCAGTGCCAGCTCTTCAAGGAATTGCTGTGGGCATGGGCAGACAATGTGGGACAGAACACAGCTTCCCTCTGGTGGGGGTGGGAAGGTGAGACAAGCAAATTAGTCAGATGGTGGAGTGTTGAGGAGAAAGACAGTGAGGAAGGGGTTAAAATTTTAAAGTGTTGATCAGAGAAGGCTCCCTCCCCCCATCAGGAGGAGACTTTGGGGAAAGAACATTCCAGGGCCCTCAGAAGTGCTCAGGGAACAGCCAGGAATTCATTGTGGCTGGAGCAAGGGGGAAGGGGAAGGAGAAGGGAGGGGATGGGGGTCCGGAGGTGTTGGCAGATGGTGCAGGGGCTTTGAGGAGGGATGCTGGGCTGGGTTTCTGTTTTCACACCCCACTCCACCCCAGTGCTGAGTGGGGCACAGGCTGTAGGGGCAGGAACTGGGAGCCAGAGAGGCCCTGGCAACAGTCCAGACGGGGACCGAGGTGATGGGGAGAAGAGGCTGGATTCTGGGTGTGCTTTCGATGGTAGAGCCAGCTGGGTTGGCCATCAGGGCTCTGCCTCTGGTGGCTTCATATCTGGAAAAGGTATTAATATCTGGAGAAGACCACTCCAGGCCCTCCAGAAGCCCCCAGAACAGAGTTTGGCAGAGCTGTCCAGTGAGGTCAGACCTCCTGTCTTCCCTCCTTTCCCGCCAGGACCTGTGTACGCATCAAAGGCTGTGAGGCTGCCAGGATGGAGGATGCAACAGACACCGTGCTGGGTCTCGTTGTTGAGCTCTCCCACCTGAAGTAAGCCCTGGGCTGGGATCCACGGAGGAACCGGCTGGGAGGGGCGGCAGAGGGGATGGGGCCTTGGGGGATGGCTGGGAGGGCCCAGTGCCTGCCTCTGCTTGTGTGTGTGTCCGAGAGCTGTGAGTGTTCGTGTGTGTGAGCTTGTGCGGGGGCGTGAGCAGCCACTTGGGTGTCTGGTGGAGCCCACACAGCTCCCGTTGACGCTTCCATGCAGCCGGCTGATCATGAGCACCCACCGGGACCTGGAGGCCCTCAAGCGCCTCAGCTACCGGAAAGCGAAGGCGAGGCTGGCAGGGAAAGCCCTGGCACCCTATACATCAAAGGGGGCTGGGAATCTCCCTCCAGGGGAGCGGTCCTGGAGGGATTTGTAGATTACTTCCAGACACCACCTCAGAAGCACCTTGTGCTCAGCGCCTGTGTGCTTCTGCTCTGCGCTGGCCCCAGAAGTGCTGCTGCCAAACAGCTGGGAGCAGTCCCTCAGCAGACCCCAGAAAGCCTGCGGGGCCCTGTGTGCCCCCTGGTTTATCCTGTAAGATGCTCCAGCAGGCCCTAGTGGGCCCCGGAAGCCTCCCCTCAGACAACCCGGAAGTCTGCTTCCCATGGGAAACCTAAGAGGCCAGGCCCATGTCAACAGCCTCTGAGGAATGTAACTTGTTCCCTCCTGGGGCTACAGCAGAGGCCACAGGCACGAGGCTGGCTGTGCCCCCCGCACTCCGGAAGCCAGCTGCTTCTGAACAGAGCCGAGCCACCCAAATGTTTATCTGGATTTGCAAATTTCGTTCTTTATCTTGGAGGTTCAGAATTTGTTTTTCTCCTGGTAGAGAAAAGGGCTCCCTTTGTTGGTGGTACCTCTGTTTCTCTCCAGATTTCCATTTTATCTTTTCTGGTTAAACCATTAATAAATCATTCCCTGGTGTGGATCTGTGACCTGCTATTTGGGTTTGAGGTATTTTCAGTTCTTTAATGTTCCGCCCACAAACCTCCCTAACCACCTCTTTCTCCTTTTACTTCTCATCCTCCCCAGGAAGGCAGGTTGGGCTACTACAGGGCCCGGTGAATCAAGGGGTTCCCCACAAGTTACTGAATGTGTCAGAGTCTCCAGGAGCGGGTGGCTATGTGTGTGCACGTATGTGTACACATTCAAGCTCAGACACCCCTGTATCTGTGGAGAGCAAGCCCACTGAGACATCGTAGCCAATCACCCAACTGAAGAGTTGGCAGGTTTGCTTTTGGTGCTCTGATGGGCTTAGGTGGCCTTGCCCATCCTCCAAAGCACAAGCTGTTTCTAGGCCCCAGACTGGAAGGAGGCGGGCCTGGGGGACTGTTACTGATACACCGCTAGTGCCCGCAGGGTGCTGAGGGCAAGGCTTACACATCCCTGATGATGTTGTCCTAAGAGGTGCTGCTGCCAAACCCATTTTATAGAAAACTGCTTCTAAATTGCTTACCAAAAGGTTGGCCAGACCTGAGATTTTATTCGTCCTTTGGCCTGTGACTCCCACACCCCAATTCCTACAGTCAAGGCAGGTTCCCCCCCTCCCACTGCCTTCTTAGACCCTGGGAAACCCCATTCTGGAGGGAAGCGAGGCGGGGTCAAGGTCCTCCACCCCTTCTGGCTGGATGTGCAGCTCCTTCCTTGAACCTGCCAGGACATGCCCGTTCTCCTGGTTCCCTGGGTCTCAAACCCCAGCAGCTCTGGCGTATACAATCAGCACTTGCAAAGAGCTGGGGGCAACTGGGATGTTGTGTCCCCTAACTCAATTAGAAACTCTTAGGGCTGCTAAGGAGCCCTCCTCTGTCTTTCTCTTCCTCCCCTCCCCTGGGCAATAGGCTATCTTCAAGGGTTGTCTCCCATCCCCAGCTCACCCCAGTCCTCCTCCTTGGGTGGCCTCAGGAGCCAGTTCAAGTCCAAAAGCCAAGACCAGAGGGTCCTCCAAAGTCCAAATCCTACTCCCACTGGGAGACAGTGTGGGCTACTACGGATGGAGCCCAGGTCCCCTGGCCAGCCCTTGGCTTGGGGAAGAATTTGAACAGACACTTGCCACTTGCTGCCCTCTGGAGGCCAGAGGAACGGACAGGGAGGAGGGATTCCCACAAGCACAGCCCTGGCCTGGGAGAGCTGGATCACACTGCCTGGGAGGTGATAGTCTCCATCTCCTTCCCTTTTCTGCCCAAGCAGAGCCAGATCACCTCCATGGTGCCTCCTGCCCAAGGTCTTGGCTGGCCCAACCCCCCAGGACATATTCCCTTCTTTGCCTAGCCTCGCCCTCCCCTCGCCCAGTCCTTCCCTTTATCTGAAGGGTCTGGCATGTGGCTCTATGGCCCTGGTTGCTGCGGCATCTGTGAGGACCTTATCATTCACTGAGGGCCTCTTTGGTCAGGATGATTTGAGGGAGGAGGAGGGAGGGCTCGGTCTAATTGTCTCTCAGATCCCCTCTCAGATCAGGCCCCCCACCTCCAGTGTGGAGAATTCTACCCATGTGGCATGTCGTTGTGTGAGGGATGGCTGGAAGGGAGTTTGAAAATACCAGACATCATAGAAATGGCTTCATGGGCTAACCTAGTGGCGAGTGCCACGCTCAGAAGTGCTGGGCTGGGGTGACCCCGCAAAACCCCACAGTCCCCCTGTGGTGCCCACTTCCATTTCTCAGCATAAAGCAGCTCACCCAGTGCTCCAGGATGAACCAAAATCCAGGTAACAGGTGGGGAAAGTGGGGGTCAGAGTAACATCTGGGGGGCTGATGAGTGCAACCAGGATGGAAGAGCAGTGCCCCAGACCCCCTGGAGCTGTTCACGCTCCCTCATCCCAAGACCTGGCCTACTCCGCTGATCCATTCGTAAGCATTTATTGAGGGCTGACTGGGCGCCCAGTGCTGGGGAGGGAGGGCCAGGGGATCTGAGGGCCACCTCCTTCCTCATGGGGGTGCTTTCAGCTGTGCTCCCAGGCCCTGCTCTCTTACCAGGCCTCCAGGCTGGGGCAAGGGCCCAGGGCCAGGTCCTTGCAAGGTGGATCTTCCCCAAAAATACATCCTCCATGGAGCCTGGGTCCCCACACCAGGGGAAGGCAGCATCTCCATCCTCCCTGCACCAGTCTCCTAGGCAGAAGTGGAGGGGCAGCAGGAAGAGGGCGAAGATCCAGCTGATTTCCCAGCACCTTTGGAACCTGGATTTTTAAAAGTGGAGGGGAAAAGGAGAAAGACAGTAATAGGGTATGATTCAGTGCTCCCAAAGGACAGGTCAAAACTTTAGAACTGTTGGGGCTCTAGCGCCACCTGGAGGCCTCTCCTGGAATAGCACCCCTGTGACACTCCAGGCCGGGCCAGCCCAGGGTGGGATCCGGAGCTGGACACAAAGCACAGAAACTCTTAACTCTGGCTGGCTGTGCTGCCCCCTTGCGGCCGCAGGGCTCCGGGAACCCCAGATTTGTTACACCCAGAACATAACAGAAGGCTGGCCTACCAGGATGGTGGTGAGAGCTGCTCCACTCCACCCTCCATGCCTGGGGAAGGGAACTTTCCTGTTCCCTCCAACTTAAGAGAAAAAAGAAGGCTCTGAGACCATCATCTCTATGTCCCTTCAGCTTCCCCCACCTCCCAGGTGGGCTTCACTGAGTCTCTTGGGGGAATAGTATCTACTTGTGGAGGCACTCAATTCTTCCAACAAATGTTCACTGCACAGCTGCCGGGGGTGAGGGTGGGGTCATCCCGCCCAGTCACCTCCCTCAGGGAGCTCACACTCTGATGGGGAGGCTGTACCCACACAGGGCACCCAAAAGGGCAGGAATACGGCGCAGTCAGGCCCACCTACCCTGTTGGCTGACTTATGCAAAGACAAAGTTGCTAAAACAATTTCTGTTTTAAAACCCCACCTTTCGCATCTACAATACCATGTTCGCTCAGACTACTCAAAGCCTGCAGCCTCCTTGCTCCCTGGCCTTCCCACATGGCTGGGAGCTGGTTAGTTAGAAATGCAGGTCCTGGGGGCCCACCCAGACTTGCAGAAGACATGCACAACTGGAATCCTCATTTGATGAGACCGGGTGACCCCACACGGTGGGCCAAGCCGTGCGGGGAGAGCCAGACCGCAGGGAGGCTTCAGCCCCAGCTTCCCCCGCCCCCCAGCTGATGCACACACAGTGAACTCACAGTGTTCCTCTCCAAACACACATTTCCCCAGGTGCCAGGCCTCTCTCCCTCCTTGCTGCCATGGACACCTCTGCCTGGAGGACTAGTGTTCTGCCTTCCAGCACTCTTAAATCTGTCCCCGCAGTCCAACCAGTCAGCCAAGGTCGAACACACTCTAACATGCAGACCTCGTCTTGCCCCTTCTGTGGTTCCCTAGCGCCCAAGTCCAAGACCTATAGACTTTTCTCCTGTCCCCCAAATCTCTGACCCGTCCCTCTCTTCCACACATACACACACATTTTGTTCCAGATACACTGAATTTCACCAAGTTCCTGAACGAGCCCCAGTGCCTGGGCCACACTTCTAGCACTCCATCAAACCGAATTAGACTTCCAGAAGTCACTTTCTCCAGGAAGCCCTCCTGGACCCCTTCATCTGGATCAGGTGCTTTCTTTAGACTCCTCCATTCAGCACTCATCACAGTGTTCTAACTGCCATTCTCCCTTCTACCCTTTTCCACTGCTGGCACAGCCCAGCACTTGGCACAAAACACACACACGCCATTTGGCTAATGAGTGAACAAAGGAGGAACATGAGGAAATGGGTTCAGAGAGGCTGAGAACTTCTCTCAGGCTGCACAGCTCCTAAGTGCCAAGCAAGACTGGAACCCCTGCTTTCCCTAACCACAGATCCTGTCACAAGTCCTCATAGCCTCCCAACAGAGCACCCATGCCTGGAAAAAGACAGCAACTTCCCCATGGACCCAGAGAGGTCCCCTGCCCAAGGCCACACATTAATCCCAGCTCTAGCTTATTCACACTGGGCAACATTTCTAGAATATTGTGCTAAGTTTTCTACACTGATTTTCTACCCGCCCCCCTAAAGTGGGCACAGGGGTTAATCCTACTTCACTAACCCCAAGGGCTTAGCCACAAGCCCAGGGCTGGCCCCCTCCACACCAGGTCCCCCAGCCACCTGCACACGCTGCAGCTCCTGCGCCGCCTCGGCGATGCCCTGGATCCTGCATCCTTGCCTTGTCAGGCCGGGACACCTTCTTGCCAGCTGAGTTGCGAGTGGTGTAGCTGTAGACAGAGGTGTAGCCCTGGCCAGTAAGCGGGCAGAAACGGCGTGTGTGGGCACGGTCACGCGTGGCACCGCACTGGGGGCACACATAGTCACGCAGGATGGGACACAGCACGCGGCCCGCCTCATCCTTGAGCACGTGGGACTGATAGATGGCCCGGGACTCGCCGTTGTGTTTGCAGAAGGAGCACAGGCGTTCAGGAGCCGGTGACGATTCCAGGCTGGGTCTCTGACCCTCTGCTCCTGGAGTTGGCTGTGGCTGGGGGTCCAGCCTGGTTTCAGGCTCCTCTTCCCCACGCAGAGCCCCCACCAGGCGTGCCAAACCCAGGTAATCTGTCCATAGGTCAAAGGTTCCCATAGCTGGGCAACGCGTGCCAGGCAGAGGGGGCAGAGAGAGAATAAACCCTGCCTGCCCAAAGCTCGTCTTTCTACCCCTTCCTCTCTGCTCCTCCCTTCCCCTCTCTGGAGCCTTGGAGTCTGGGCTGTCAGTTCCAAGGGGGTGTGAAGGGGGAGGAGCAGGCTGTGGGAGGTTCCTTATTGTCACAGGGGGGCTTGCTGCTGCTCCCCCATAAAGGCACCTGTGAGGGGATGCATGGTCTCTGGGTGGGCTGGGGGCAA